CTTCCCTCTAGTTTTAAAATAAAATAAAAAAAAGTCAATCATTCAAGTTTCTGCAGGTAAAAGAAAACGAGTTTTCCCCAAACTCGTTTCTTGATTAGATGTGGAGAATCCTCGCTAGATTAAAGAGTAATAATATGGACCTCAACAAGGTACTCCTCGAGGATACTCAAATGTTCGGTGACGATATGTAACAGGGAAGAAAGATGTAGAGATTTTCAAATCATCTCCTCGATTGTGAGATCTCCGCAATATATTCGATAATGTATAAACGAGCGACATAGATATGACACTAATATTGAAAAAATGCATGAAGAAAATTTTTACAAAATATATTTTTCAATAAAATAAATCATTTTTAATTGATAAAATAAATTTGTAAAATATAAACATTAAAAAATATTATATTAACATCGTTGTATTTTGATAATCAATAAAAAACCATATATTTGGAATTAAATTGTACCTTCTCCAAAAGACGAAACATTATATGATAAAAATTAAAATAAATATTTTATTTTATTCTAAACTAAAAGGAGAGGTTGAGTATATTTTACACATGTATTTTATCAAATGGAAATATTATTTGATTGAAAAATATTTACATCTTAATGTTTCGCAAAAATTTATTTATATATGTATCTTTTTTGCTTTTGACATTACAATTCAATATGTAGTGATCAAGCATGAGTCTTAATTAATAACTTTATTATAGTTTTTTATTTAGCATATTATTTGTCTTCAGCATATCATTTTGTATTATTAGGTTTGTGTTGCAATAAATGTACATCACGTTCAAATTCGATAGCTTTTTTAGCATTATACGATTGAAAGAAACGTTTGCCATGTTCGAAAGTCGCAATCATAATTGCACAAGCTGGGGCTACTTTTACCAAACGCGGTACTAGTCCAGTGAATAAACCTTTTAATCCATTCTGATAATAGATCCTTTGTATTATAGTCCATGTAGTACTGCTACGAATAGGTTTATCTAAAAATTCACATTAATAAATTTTATACAGGGTGTTTAGCGTAATGATTCGCACAATTTTTCAGACATTTTCAATAGTTAAAAAAAAAGTTGAAAGATGAAAATTCATCTGTTTTATATAGGCTACAATAGCGAAAAACATGATTTATTTAAAGAAAATTTGAAGACATTTTTTTTATAAAAAAAAAATCAAAATCAACTTAAAATTTTTAAATAGCATTCAAATCATTACTCAAATGTCACTTTTATTTTTATTGATTTTATTGAGACTTAATATCAAATTTGCAGCATTATTTATAACAGCAGTATTTAAAACTTTTGACTAAAACACAGAACATAAACACATATATACATGTATTGATTTAATAAAATATGCAATAAAATTAATAAAATCACTAAAACATCAATAAAAGTGACATTTCGCTAGTGATTTGAATTCGTCTTGAAGATCCCTATAATATTATGGAAAAAAAAAATTGTATGGTGCTATTTTAAAAATTCAAGATTACTTTAATTTTTTATTAGAAAAATTTTTTTAATTCTTTTTATCGCATATTGTAGCCAGTATAAAACAAATTAATATTCATCTTTCAACTTTGTTTTTTAACTATCGGATGTACCTGAAAAATCGTATATAAAATATTGGCTGCTTGTATATAAAATATTTACCTGAATAAATTTCTTTTTCGCCCATTTCAATTTGTCTATGTGTTTTTACTACATCAAAGGGAATAGTGAAAAATGCTGCTATCTACAATAATGTTTACATCTTAGCATACATCTTTTTGGAATAAAATATTATAATTATATTTCTGAAATACATACAGATCCAGCTACAGCTCCAGCGACCAGATTAAAAGTAAAAATTTGCTGTGAGCTATACATTTTCTTTATAGTTTCATAATTTAACCAGTATAAAGCACTAAAAGGAACGTCACGAAGAAGAGTTGAACCCAATCCCATCCACAAGCCAGAAATGCCACTATATCTTACAACTATTTTTAATGTTTGCGTTATTTCTGAAACACATAAAGCATATTTGAAATTGCCAAATCTTATTTTAAACTTCTTTACATATCAATTTGATATTACATTAACTTATCCTACCTGCATAACTTAGTTTCTGTGATTGCATTTTTGTTCTTATCAACTCCAACGGACTCACCAGTGTTGCAGCCCAGATTCGTGCTGTGCCACCAGCTAATATAGGAATCCAGAAAGGTTGCTCCACATTGATTCCCTTCTTTTTAAATTGTTTATTATATGTATCCTAACAACACACACATACACACACACATATATATAATATTAGACATTTTATTTAAAGTTCCTAGATATATATACTCATATATTATATATAAATAAATTAAAGCTAACAAATTATCACACAATGAAAATACTAATACCTTTAAATATAATCTTAATTGTTCATATGAAACAAAATAAATTACAGTTGCGGGTACAGCTAGAACTAGAGTAGGACTTAAGCCACTCCATAATGATGCTATACCTTCTGTTTCACTTATTTTTAATAAAGCATCCTGAAAATAAAATTAATACTATTAACAAATGAGTGGGCATTATTAATATTGTAAGATTTCTTTTTGTATATTTATGATATTATGATTATGTATTCTATATGTTAATCTTAATGTACATCTTAATATACAGAAAAGCAAGTAATTATATGAATCTTATCTTATACTTTTTGTTAAAATAAATTTTATTTTTTGTATGCTTACATATAACAATGATTCAATATATCAAAAACTCTTTCAAGTAAATAGATCTAATTCAATCAGTATATGTTCTTCATTTCTAACAAAATTTGACCTTATTAATGCTTGATCAAGAGTTTTATTTATTAATATTTATACTAAAAAGTTTTTAGTAAATTTCATCAATCTATAGAAAAAAAATGTATTGGAGAAAAAATATAAAAATTAATTTGTTATAATATATAAGTAGTATAAAGAAAAGATTTATATGATATTGCATTTCGAATATCATAATTCATATGAAAACAGGATATCAATGATGAAATTCTTTTCTTAGAAAAGTAAAAAGTAAAAAATTTCTCCATTAACTTCGATGATTAAAATTTTTATTTTTCACTTTCCATCCTAGAGATAAAATTTCATGAATAATACTCAGAAATATTAAATGTCACAATTATATAATAATTACGTACAAATGTCCCCTTAAATTTTCCATTTCTTTTCATCCAATCAGGCATTTTACCATTGGTACATGGACATAAATGATCCATTAAACCATTGCAATATAAAAAACATTTATTCGAAAGCATTGCTTTCTGTTGTGTTTGAAGACGTATTTTTACCACATCCAATGGAGTCACTAGTAAAAACATCAGAAAAAAAACATAAATATTCAAAATTTTACTTATAAAAAATACACAAGCAACCAAAGAGATTAAAACAAATATCATTTTTTAAATTAAAACAAAAATATAAAAATATTATATTTAATTTCAAAGGAATATACAACATGAATATAACGAGATCTTGTAATTTTTATAAGTTGATACGATTTTAAAATAGCATATTTTGGAAATACTAGTAATACTCTAGTCTTTCCTATGTATACAGAATTTATAACTTTTGTTTCTTCAGTAATGCATTTATATATTATTTTCATAAATTATACAATTATCTAGTTATCATTATTGCAAACTTACCAAACACCGATGTAATAAATGCACCAGTGCAAGAAGCCACAATTTGTTGATAAGGTTTGATACGAAATCTTGGATCATCCAAGTCAACATTCGACGACACGTTGATTAATTTATTCATTGCAGAGAGTGAGAGAGAGGTAATTTTACTTCAAAATCTACATCACATATGACTCTTTCTTTTATTCTGGTAAGTCCTGGTTCTACAATGAGTCAGTAATTCGTAATCAGAAAACTTAACCAGTCTTAACACTCTTATTACAGAGAGACCTGAGAGAGGCCATTGCCGGCTTTTTTCCTGTTATCCATGATGTAATAAAAAAGGTGAACCAATACGCATAATGGCGGATGGCCAAGATCTCGACCAATCAAAGATTGAGCAATTCGTCCGGCGCGAGTTACGAAGCTCATAAAATAAAATAAACTAAACATGAAAAAATTAATAATAATATCTATAAATAACATTATATTTCTTGAATTATTCTTCTTTCCCTGCATTTGAGGAAAAAAGGTTTACATATAAGGAAAAGAACTTGTAAAGAACTTGTTCTATTCAATAATACATTTTTATTTTCTTTTTGTCCCGACCACTCTTCCTTTTGCAATTGACACATCACGTCGCATAATACAATCGAAATGTCTTTATATATATGTATGTACACATAAAATAATTCTTTTCTATCTTGTATAATGCCACCGACTATTAAAAACTCTCGGCGCTTATAGAAATTCGCGTGCCTATCAAAATTTAAGTAATTAAGAGTAATAAACTAGTAACTAGTAATACGGTATTAATTTCATAATATATTAGTTTTGTAGACATGTATATATGTTTAAAATTTAATAATACTCAATTTTTATTTAAAACTGTGATTTTAATAATATCAATTAAGTTTGATTATCAATAGAGATGATAACTGCAGAGGAAAAATTGTAATTTTTCGGGAATATATAAGATATTATTTCATTAAAAGTATGCATACTTATTTATACAGCTTTTATATTTATTAATTGTTGATAATGTCATCATTCTTAAGTATTTTAAGTCATGCAAAATTCTAAATGCGATTTTAAAATAGTTATAAGATAAAATTCTTATATTTCTTGATGAAATGTATATAGGATTTTATATCACGTTACTACTTTAACATGTTACTTTTAACTATAAAATCCAGTTATTACATATAAATAAATTATAAAAGATTAGATTGAAGTGCATTGAGATAAATAATAATAATTAATAAACGTAAAATGTCTTTTACAGAAAAGCGAGCTTAATAAATTATATACTCTACACTAAAATTTTTATTATTATTTCATTAGTGAGATGTATACGAATAAGTGTGAAATAACAGAAGGGATTTCTTAGAAAACAGTTTATCTTATATATGTATATAAGTATTGTTTTTCTGCACCAACTTGTATAAAACTTAATCCTGAATATGAATATTTGAGGATAGGATAGATAAGAAAAATAATAAAAATAATAAATATTTATTAAACTGTAATAAAAACTATAATAAAACTATAATAAATACTTTTCTATATAATGATATCCATATAAAATAATTTCATTTACTCTATTTATTATTTTATATAATCTTCATATTTCTCAATTTCCCGTATTTCATATATTTCAAATGTACGAATATTTTATTTTTTTTCGTTTTAACATTATGTTTCAATTTTCATTGTTCTATAAATATTTAAAGGAAAAATATGTTTCAATATCTTAAAGTTGATACTTAAAACTACAAAAAAAAAACGTTCAAGTTTTGAATGTCAACTTTAAGATATTGAAGCATATTTTTCTTTTAAATATTTTGTTTGATTAGATTAGGTTATATTTTTGTATGAAAAAGTACATTTTTCTCATTTTGTTAACTGTATTTAGGTACAATAACTTGTTATAAATACAAGTACTTTACAAATAACTTTTTAAAGTACTTTTTAAAGATGTCAAAATATCATTTAATAATTTTTATATATGTACTTATAAAAGCGATAAAAATTAAAACATATATATTTTAAGTAAAAAAAGTAAAAGAGTTATTTAGTATTTATTATTTTAAATATAATTACGTTTCTTATTTATTTCTTATTTAATATTTTAAATAAGTTTCCGGAATCTATTTTATATTTTATATAATTCGTAAATAAGTTTCCGGAATCTATTTTTTATTTTATATAATTCGTCTGTTATTTTATCGAGCTGTGATCAAAATTTATACGTAAATTTAAAGAATTTCTGAAACATAGAATAATTTACAGTAATAGTATTGTTTTAAATTAATTTATTAACTGGAAAATTAAATAATGATTAACAAGATATTTAATACTTTTAGGGACACACTCCACACAATAAAAGGAACAGAGAACAGAGGATAGAGAATAAAACCCAAGACACAATGCGAGGGAATAGCGATAGAAATAACGATTTCAATCTATTAGAAATTCGATATATCGGAATATACAGTTTCTGATAGGTTGAAATCGTATTATCTCTATCGCTATCGCTATTCTCTCGCATTGTGTCTTGTGGGCTTAAGAATTTCAATCTATCAGAAATCATGTATTGTAGAACACGCAGTGTTTCTGATATATTGAAATTCTTATTCCCTGTTCCCTGTTCCTTTTATTGCGCGGAGCCCCTTATTCTTTCAACAAATATCAAACGTATAACTGCTTTACTTAAGTTCTAAAAGTGTAGTAACACTAGTTTAACTACAGAAAATAGACCCTAATAATTGGGTATTCGAACGGCGAACAGCGTGGGGGAGCATATTACGTGGCGAACAGGATGGAGAAGCGTACCGCGCAGCCGCGCGTTGCGATGGTGACTACGTCACTTCGGTATTCGCTCGATGATCTTAAAGGGAGACATACATTTACGAATCTTCGGATGTCACATTAATTAATGAAAATTAGATATCTGCGAATACGAATTATGTAAGATTGTCCAAAATTAAGGAATGTATTAGGGATTAATAGATTTTATTGCATGGATTTTGCTTCCCAGCAAACGAGAATGGATTGAAATGAATTGAAATGGATTCAGATTTTCAGAAATTTGATTCACGAATGTTAAAATGCTTTTCAATCTTGAATGCATTTTTATTCATTTATAGGAATTGGAGCATATCTCTATGTCTTTCAATCTAAAAATAATATTAGCTTTTTTGTGCTTTATGAATACTGTTCAATTCAAAATTTTGAATAGAAAATGCAGTTTTTCAATCCAATTGAAGCCAATTGAATCTATTAGGTCGTCCAGAAAGTTCGTGCCGCAAAAGATTTAAATTTAATAAATGAAATTAAAAATTTAAATCTTCTGCGTTTCAATTTTCCTTCAAAATCGGCACGAACTTTCCGGACGACCTAATTGAATCCAATTAAATCCAAAAAATATTTGCTATTTAAAATACGCATTCGGATAGAAAAAAATTTCAATCTATTTTAATCCATTCTCGTTTGCTGGGATTTAATGATTCTATACCAGGTGTATAAGCTTAAATCCGCTGTTTTTTAGTCAGAAAAACACATTTTTTTTTCTTAGGAAGCAAAAACAAATTTATTCAAAGTACTCGCTAACTATACATTTTTCCCATCTTTCGGACAATTTGTGTATACCACGCCAAAAAAATTCCTCATCGAGGCATCTTCGTAAGAATCGAAGTGCCGCTCAGCGAGCGCGTGGCCCATCGAAAACAGATGATAGTCAGAAGGTGCTAGGTCTGATGAGTAAGCGGGATGGGGCACTTTCCAGTTGAGTGTCTCCAAGTAGTTTTGGACCATTGTTGACATGTGCGTTGTCGTGGAGGAAAATCAGCTTGTCATGTCTTTTTCGATAATGCAGCCTTTTTTCACGCAGAGCGCGGTGCAATTTGATCAGTTGTTGGTGGTAGCGGTGAGCATTAACAGTTTCACCAGGTTTTAACAATTCATAGTAGATGGACACCCTCCTGATCCCACCAAAAGCACAGCATCGTCTTCCGTCCGAAGCGATTTGGTCTTGAGGAAGATGTTGGGCGAGATCAACCCAAGATTTCTTGCATTTAGGATTCTGAAAATAGATCCACTTTTCATCGCCTGTCATAATCCGATGCAGGAACGACTTTCTTTTTTTTTTTTGTCTGGCAAGCAGAATTTGGCATGTGTTTTGGCGTCGCTTCATCTGCCTATCGTTCAGTTCATGCAGCACCCATTTTCCGATCTTTTAAACCTTCCTCATGGCATATAGCCGCATGGAAATGGCTGCTTGAGAAACACCCAATCGCTCGGCAAGCATTTTTTGCGATTGGGTATCGTCCTCGTCCAAAAGAGTCTGCAATTGACAGTCCTCAACTTTCCTGGGCCGATTTTCACGCTTCTTGTTACTCAGGTCAAAATTGTCGTCATTGAACCGGCGAAATCAATCTCTGCACGTTGTTTCCAATAAAGCATTGTCGCCATAGACACACAAGCATTCGATGCGATTCGGCAGCCGATTTCTTCAAATTGAAACAGAAAAGCAAAGCTTCCCGCATATGCTTTTTTTTTAGCAAAAAATTAGACATGAAAGAAAAAATGTATGTTGTTGTATGAAATTGCTGATGATGTGCACTGGTTAATGTTGATAGATATGTCAAACACATAAAAAAAAGTGTGTGTTGTGTGCCCAGGATAGTTTTGTACGCTCACTAATGCCTTACTTATGAGCAAACAGCGGATTTAAGCTTATACCCTAATATAAATATAAATATAATATAAATATATCCATATATCCGTATAAAAATGCCTGTTTATCCATTTTACACAAATGGATCCGAAGATTATGTTTCATCTAATCATAGTCGGAAAAGATAGGAATTGACTATTTTCTATTCCGACAACGACAGCCGACAACTTCATTTCGACAGCCGACAATCCAGTGCGCATGCGTTGACACAAGAATCTGACATATTGTAAAACGGGCCTAAGAAATTTAACCAATAGGAATAAAGAATAAAGGCTTAAACACAATAGCATAGGCAAAGGCAACAGGGAATAACGCCCAATCAGAGCTCTGGGATATAATATGGGACTTATATTCCAGAACTCTGTTTGGACGGCTCGTTTCCCTGTTGCTTATGCCTATTGCCTATTATGTTTAAGCCTTTAAGATTTCACCTATCAGAAATCGGATACATGGTTTCTATATATAAGTTGATATCGTTATTTCTTATTCTTAATTCCTTATTTCTTCTATTGTGACTGTGTCATAAAAGAAACAGGGAACAGAGAACAGAGAATAAGAATTTCAACCTATCAGAAATCATATTATTGTGCGGAACCCCTAAGTAGTACAAAAAGCAGAAATTATCGACTACTAGTACGAATTCTGATTGGCTACTGCTTTTTGCTTTTTCATGAAAGTGTGAACACACTCTAACCCTCGGTTAATTAGAGATTCACCGTAGAAATAAAAGCACGTTTTGATTATTGAATACAGGTCGTATTTTTTATAGCCTGTCATTTTTAAATAAATAAATAAGCTAAAAAATATTTTCTTATATATTATTCAATATTACACAACCTATTTTTATTAACTTTTTTAGAAATTTTACGTACATTATTAAATTTTTCTTAGCATATCTTTAATACTTAATTAATTTTGAAACGCATCCTGTATCATTACTACGTTCATGTGTATCTATAAATACACAAGTTTAAAAACAATAACATCAATTACGAACATTGTCGAGCAAAGTGCGAGTGTGACAAATGTGTGACGATCATCAAACTAATAAAATCATTTGTACTTGGTAGGAAATGACAAAAATTCTAGACAATTCCACGGTATAGCTCGCGCAAACGTAAATGGTAGGCATATGTATATACGTATCAAGTACTCGTGAAAATATCAAATCAACAAATACTTAGGTGCGCGATCAGAATTTGGCAGGATGTGATTGTGCGAACCACATACTCTCGAGGAGATGTCAAACGGTTGAAACTTGAAACAAGCCACTATGCTCGTCGATTAATACTTATATTTCATTTAAAGATATGTCGAGAACGTGCTGTATTGGAGATTTTAGGTAAGATTACTTCATTTATATATAGTTTGGTTACGTCTCAACAGGTGCGAATCAAAAAAATCGATGCTGCATCGTGAAAATATTTTTCAATAGCGGCGCGAAGTCTAATTTGTCATATGATCGAGTGCTTTTACGATATAGCGATCAGCAACATGTACTTAATGCTTTTGTAATACTGAATGAACACAGCGAAAAATAAGATGTCACCGTTTCGGAGGAAAAAGTCCGGGAGATCTTTTCCCGTCAAAGTTTGCACCTTAGATGCAGAACTCGAATTTAATCTAGAGGTTAGTAGACAAGTATCACATAGTCTTACGTTGGATTGCTATTATGTATCTTGCACTGATGATATATCTCGCAAGCTGACAAATTTCCTGTGGCATAGTGGAGATCGACAGGCAGAGAATTGTTTGATCTGGTGTGCCGTACAATAGGATTGAGAGAAACGTGGTATTTTGGACTTCAATACGAAGATGCAAAGGGCTTTATTTCTTGGTTAAAGTTAGACAAGAAAGGTGATTGTAATTTATCGCCGTTTGTTCAATATTTAGACCTTGTTTGGAAGAGATATAATCTGGATACTTGTAATTAATTGTATATATATTTACTGCAATGACACTGAACTAATTACAGTTCAAGATCAAGGCATTTCGCAACATCAAACAACATCATTCATGTTCTTAGCAAAATTTTATCCTGAGGATGTTGCTGAAGAACTAGTACAAGAAGTCACTCAACATCTGTTTTTTTTACAAGTAAAACAAGCTATACTGTCCATGGATATTTATTGTCCACCTGAAGCTTCTGTATTACTTGCTTCTTATGCTGTCCAAGCAAAGGTATCTTTTTGTAAACTAAACTATAAATGGTATTTGTAGTTGGTTCTCATATTTAAAATTATTTTAAATATAACAATTTTAAGTATAACAACCGACTATGAACTGATCTGTATATTTGTAATTAATACATTAATATATTAATACATTTTAAATTAATATATTAATATAAATTCAAGTTAAAGTAGCTAATAATTAAATAGTATTTT